TAATTGTTATTATTTTTATAGTAATTTATAGTAATATTAAGTATTTATTATTCTAATATTTATTTGTGTTATAATTTCCGCGTTTCGCACGTTCAAATTGAGCGTCATTAAAAAAATCAGCTGATAATTGGAACGTCGCGTTGGCGGAGGTATCAGCGGTTCACTTTGGCAATTCATGTCGAGAGACGTGGTTGTAGAAGTCCTTCAACCTGATGATGAGCTAAAAGGCTCGAAATCCGGATCGTTGCAAAACAACTTACTGTGAGTAGGAACTATCCTTTTAAAAAGGGTTGATATGACATGATATGATAATGCTGTTGCGAACCTCCCGAAAAAAAAAAAAAACTTGGAATAACCCGAGATCCGATAAATAAATTCTGCTATTTCATGGCGAATAGAAGCTACTATAGTCCGTTGAATTTGTCAACTAAATAACGAATGAAAATTGGCACATATTTGACTCAAAATCTAAACGAGTTATTTTCAAAATGACCTCCTTATAACTCAAGCTGCCCCCTTATGAGGTCCCACGTTGGGAAACACTGCTTTACCAGTCTTTGATTATATTTCATATTCGTTCTTTCACAAAGAGCCTGAAAACATTGAAAATCGACAAGTTGGTGTATATTCCACACCGTTCAAATTCACTTAATATCACAATAAGTAATACTTTTTTTGTCGTTTTTTTAAAGAGGGGTCGCAACAGCAGACATTATATCAACCCTCGGTGTTTTTGAATAAAAGCCCATTTGTAGGTAGCATGTCGGGTTCCAATGAGTTCGAATGCAGGGCCGCTGGATTCGAACCCGGGACCTTTACCTTACTGATGAGCGCCGTGTCAACGCCTAAAGCATTGCGGCCACATACGCCCCCTTTCGTCCTTATTCAATTTAATAAAAAGAACTGTTCAACTTTCTTACTACGTAAAAGCCGTAAAACCATTTTAAATAAACAATTGCATAAAGAATATAGTCAAAGAGATGAAAAAACGTTTTTACCAAATATCTTGTTCACATTGGGCATGCCTCATTAGTGCAATTAAAACGTTATTTTCTGCAAAAGAAAAAAAACTCCCATTGATTTGGTTGAAGTTAACAAAGCTAACAAAATATCAGGTAAAATGCCGTTTTCTTCGTGAAAATTATAATCTTAAAAAGTGATACGATTCTCGGAATGTATTTCATTCTATTTATTTTCCTTCACCTGATAAATCAGTTATATTAGTTCGCAATAGTAATATACTAAGTAATTTTCCAATTAATTAAGGTTTTTAGTTGAGATAAAAAAGGCAGTAACACGAGCGGGATTCGAACCCACGATCTTCGGGCTTGATACGTCGCTGCTCGACCACTTGAGCTATCGTGACCTCGATCCACTTGAACGCCAACTTCGCTTCTCTTTCCCATCTTTTGAATTTTCCCTCCTTTTTGACATTTTTTATATCTCTTTTTTATCTCAACTAAAAATATATTAATATATTATATTAATTAATTGAAAGATATTAATTGGTCAAGCGGACCACGAAAACTAGTGAATATACTAAGTAATATTATTTCATTTTTACTATATTCGATGATTTTTCAACTAAATGGCGAATGAGAATTGGCGCATAGTTGACTCAAAATCTAAACGAGTTATTTTCAAAATTGTCCTCCTTGCGGGGTCCCACGTTAGGAAACATCGGTTTTTGCAGTATTCGATTATATTTGATTATGAATATTCAGTCTTGCAAGGAGCCTGAAAACATTTAGTCTGTCCACCCTTTCACCCTTAACCTCAATTTATCTATCCACTGCATGACTTCATCCAACCCTTTGATCGGCAACTCGGAATTTTCTCCCTCGATTACTCTGAGGATCGACATCGCTCAACCGTTTCATTTATTTTCGCAGGTGGGGCCTCGAGGTGAATACATGGGAGCGGATCAATACATTAGGGGTTGGTGGAAACGCCATTTCGTCGGAGCCACCCCATCATCATCATGGCCTCCGGTCGCTCCGCCCTCCTTACACGCAGAGCCACGCACACCGACCCGATTCGCCGGCCGGGGAGGCGACTGCAAGACGAGTGCATGCACCTGTCATCCGGCTTTCTACAAACGCGTCTCTTCTTTTGTGATTTATGCTAAATTGTTGTTGTTCCCCTATGTAAATACATTTACGAGATGCTGTATATAGTCACAACTTATACAAATGTTAATATTGTAAGTAATTGATTTTTTTAATACATTAAAGCTTGAGATTATATTAAGAAAAATTAACATGGATAATTTAAAAAAAAAAGGTCTAAACGTACAAAAAGTAATTTTAAAGAAAAGAATCTAGCCTTTAAAGAAAAATCGCTTTACATATGCGATTTCAACAAAAATCACAATGTCTTCCAAATATATATAAAAAGGCGATATTAGAGATCATAGATTAAAAAAAACATCCCTTTGTGTGTACATTAAAAAATAATGCGCCGTGTTACATTTTATTGGAGCTTTCTGATTTAAGTATAATGGTTTACCAAATAACAATAAATGTATAGCTTTTACTTGTACTTTTCACTTTTGTGTTTTTTAATTTACGATTTTTGAAGATTTTCTTTTATTCTAAGGGTGACTGGGCGAGCGAAAGAATCGTTAAAAAACAATCAATGAATATTCTCGGACAAACATATCATATATGAGGCCTCAACGCCGAAATCAATCAAAACCCGAGGAGGGGGTTGAAAAATTTCAAAACGGGATTATTTGTCTTGTGTATGTCGGGTTTTGAGGCCCCGAACTTAGTAAGTACTTGCTGTAAGAGAAACGTGAATGTTATTTTCCTTTGGTTGATTTCCTTGTGAGGGCGAGCACCTGTTGTGAGCCCCATCAGTTGTGAATGACAATAAAATGTAGTCAGTCGATAATACACGGTTTCCAACCTGTTGTTGCGTTCTTCTTTCCTACACAACCCTTCACATTCAAACATTAATAAATTTAGAGTTAAATGATTCAAAAGAAAATATTTTATAAAAAAAACATCAACTACGAGTTGAAGCTGTATGTATGCTTTTCTGTTAATGTGTTTCAAGCAGTGACACTCCCTCACATCGTCAATCAGTCTCTCAAGAATATCTCGGCCACGACCGCATCAAACGACGTGTGGAATTTCCAGGCATGTTGGAACAAGAAAACTTTAAACAAATGGATTGTGGTGAATGTTTAAATTTTTGTGGAAGTTTTTCTATATAAATTTAATAATGTCAATTACAAATTAGATTTGGAAACATTGTGGATTTTTAAGTTTGAAACATACAAGGGACGGTTTGATACTTTTTCCAGTATTTTTAATAGGATTGATTGATTTTTGAAGAAAATGGATATTCTCAAACTTAAATTCGGGATATTCACATCGTTCTCAAGATTTTCTTGTAAATAGTAAGTTTATTGGTAAGTATTGAACAAAGGGATCGGGGATGAAGCCTGAAGGTGACAAAAAACCACTTCTTTTTCTTCCGTCGAGCTTTCGGCTATATTTAACGCCTTCCTCAGAACACTATTTCAGTACAATCAATGTTACGCTATACATAAATAAATTATAATGATAAATCAACAACTTATCTGTGACAGATCTTATCAATAGGATCTCTTTCAGGTTTGAGAACAAGGTAACCCTTATTTGGTTACCAGGACACCATGGCAATGAAAAGGCGGATGGCCTAGCCAAAGAAGGTTCTATAATACTGCGTTTGTTGGGCCACAATCGGTATTACCTCACTCTATGAGCACAGCGAAAGAGAGTATCAATAACTGGGGCATGGAACAATTCCTTAGGGAGTGGAATTTATCCCCTGGACACAGGCAATCGAAAGAGTTTGTTAAGGCGATCAAACCAGCTGAATCGAAATGGCTATTCTCTATGTCAAGTAAGGGAATTAGGGAGTGCCTCAAAGC